CCCCCCCCCCCCTGTGTCTGGAAATGCGATGCATGGTTTACTAATTGCATGCATAGAGGTGTTGTAAATTGCTGTAACGTTATGTGTTTGGCGTTTGCGGGGATTGTGAAACACTTAGACTGTGATGAATCTGCTTAGAAATGACAGCTATTTTCACCTCACCTTGCATTATTAATTTCTTGCGTAATTGTGGTGTTATTACTTTATGGATCGCTCTTAGAGGAAACGCAAAGCACCTATAATGCGTTTATTTGCATTTTGGCTAATTTATTCTTCTACGGTGTATTTAAAGACCTCATGAAATCCAAACCAAAGTATTTAAAAAAAAAATATTAATTAGAATTAACTGTCATTATTTTAAAGTTATTATTACGTATGTTGGATATATAATGTTGTGTTTATATATATATATATATACACACACACACTAATTATAACATGTATATTTATATATTTTTATATTTCCACAAAAAAAATATTGTTATATTGCAAAGACAAGCATTTTTTTGTGAAGTCCGTATGAAATAAAAATGGAGCTAATTTGTAAATTCATAGAATATATATATATTGTGAATGATTCATGCATGTATATTTCTCTTTTTTTAATTTTTTTTTTTATTAATTTAAATGTCAATTCGATCTTCTGTTTAAAAATTTTCTCTATCCACCTTTTTCTTCAACGCGGAAGTAAGCTATGGGTGAGACTTCCGGTTCATTAGCCGCTATAGGTACATAACGAGGAGAACAATACTGTGCAGTAAACGGTAAAACTGTTTGCACTACAAACCAGTGTGTTCATAATTAAGATAATACCTTAAAAATAATATAAGAGACACCAACTTTCAATATCAAGTAGCAAAACGAACTGTTTTGTTCAGCTACAAATAGCTGGACGGAGTGGACGCAGATGAGACCGGAAGCCAGACCCATAGAATTTACAAATGGCCGTGCCCATTTTTACGACAAGAAAAAGGTGGATATGCTGGACTTCTCCATTCTTTTAGAAATGCTTAAGCTCCGCCCCTCCGCAATTGCCTTTCAAGATCGGATTCATTTTTGAGTGCAGCGCCCACATTTTAAAATCCAATCAGCTGGTGCATAGTACCAAGTTCCTGGCCTACATTTTTTTTTCAATGCTCCGTTACATGCAGATATACGTCACAGTATGGAAAATATATCAATACTTCCATTTCATTGCAACTTTAGCAAAAAATAATATTTTCTATTATACACATTGGCAGTTGCTTTTTAACATTTCAAATTTACAGTCTTTTTCTTTTGGAAGAATTGGCTGAAATATTGACATCTCATCTTCCACAGTATATACTGTTTTGTCCAATCAAAGCAAAAAAGTACAAGCCCTCCAATACATCCTGCATTCCTGTTGAAGAAGGATTTCATGGGGTCTTTAATTACTTAATTTTTACTCTTCATTATGTCAGTAGGCTTAATTTAGCTGTTTATTATAATGAATTACAGCTGATGATTATGTGCAACACTTATTATGCAGTGGTTTTAATTTGCATTTTTGTGTTGTCTATTTAGATTAGTCTGCTTGGTATTGTAATTCATGTGTGGGTGTTGTGTTTTAGTTTGCTAATCAGCAAACCTCTGCGCACATCAGCTTGAATTGAAAGTATAGCATTTCTTTGAATTTAAATGTCTGTTGACACAGTGCCATCAATATTTAACTGTCCACAGGAGGTGAGGTTTTGGCTGACATCCTGCAATTTTTGAAAAACAAACTGATTTTGCCTCTTTTTTTTCTTTTCTGGGTGTAGTCAAAGTCAAATCCATATTCAGGATCCACTGGATGATTTCTTTAACAGTACATTCTTCTCCAAAAAAGGAATTGATGAAAATTCCCTGCCCACTTAGTGTTGTGCGCTGACATATTCAAGTCTTTTTTTGGTTTGACACGTTTGCAGCAAGCACTGATTGGAGAGCATGGCTCACTCCAAGAATCGAGCCACGGACGGCAAAATCACCTACCCGCCGGGGGTGAAGGAGATCTCCGATAAGATCTCCAAGGAGGAGATGGTTCGGAGACTAAAGGTGAGGAGCAATCTGTCATTCACCCAAATGAAAACAGCTTATTAATAGTGCTGAATGTTTTTTCTGTGTAATTACAATGAATAATGAGTACTGAAGCTTGTCCGACTCTTCGGTTAGATATAGCCTGCAAGTCTTTTCATACCATTAACGAGTAACCAGTGTGAATTTATATTTATGTATAAATATATAAATCTAAATATATTACTTTGAAATAGCTTTTTAATATATATTTGAGTTTTCATGTGCTTTTTATTTATATTTTTTGTAGTATTTCCATATGGCTTAAATTTAAGTTTGAGTAATTTTAGTATTTCAGCAAAAAATTCTGAAAATTATACTAATTTTACGTTTGTTTGCCATTTATTTAAAAAAATCGATTTAACTTTTATTTATTTCAGTTTTAGTAATTTTTGTACTTGAACTAAAATTGTAAAGATTGTTGTCATTTTATGTTCCGTTGTCATTTAAAAAAATTGTTTCTTAATCTTTTAGTTATAGTAATTTTAGAAATGAACAAATTTTGTACATTTCTGTAGTCTAACGTTTATATGTTTATGTATTTTGTTTTATTTCATCTTTATTTCAGTTAACAAAAACGATTTTATAATAGTTTGAGTTTTATTTAACAATGTCAAAACATTCAGTAACCAGAATTAATAATTAATTTGAAGTTCTATTTATAGATTTTTGTAGATTGATCCAAAATTTTTTTCTCCTTGGTTATTTTAGCAGAAATATTTTGTGCAAAACATCTCTAAACCTCAGCTGAGTTTTTATCACACAGAATGAAATTATAATTTTTCTGCTCGTATTTCAAGCTGTTTTTACAGCTTGTAGATGGCGTTGTCTCCCTCAGTGGCTGTGTCACTTATGTCTATTTTTAAGTAAGACTGCCAAGTGAAAGTGTGTTTCCCATTAGAGTGTCTTACATCACACTGTTAGTTGGATGCGTGGTTGATACACAGCTCTATGGTGCTTTTCAAAATCAGATGGTGGTGAAAACCTTCATGGACATGGACCAGGACTCAGAGGAGGAGAAGGAACTGTATCTGAACTTGGCCTTGCATCTCGCCTCTGATTTTTTCCTCAAACACCCAGACAAAGATGTCAGACTACTTGTGGCCTGCTGTCTTGCAGATATATTTCGCATCTATGCCCCTGAGGCACCGTACACATCACCTGATAAACTTAAGGTTGGAAAACTCAACATCTATTGATTTGATTGCAGTGTTAGTTCTTGCATATGTCAGTGAAGAACCATGAATGTTTGCATCTATAATTACGTTTTAAATTCCCACCGTGATGACTACCATGTTGAGATCACATGACCAGCACAATACTAAAGTCTTTTATGGCCAGTTAAGTAAAATTGTGGTTTGTTTTGGGAAAGAAACTTAATTTTAATTGTATTAGTGTGCATTAAAACCGATGTGCTGAAATTTTGAAGGTGATATTTGTGTGTCTGTTTTTCTTCACCTTGAACGAAAGATAGCAACGGATCAAGTTGTTCAGCAGAAAATACTAAAATAACTGCTGTCTCTCATGCATTGCCTTCACAGGTGCTTAAAATATTAAAACACTCTGCTCTTCTTT